TACCAGGATGAATATTACTAAAAATGGTGATGGGGAGAAAATTGCAGCTTAGAATTAATGAACTGCCTGCTGGAGTAGAAGTAAAAGAGCTGCTGTCTGCAGACTTCACTTGCCAAATAATGTATGGGAAATGGTCATGGCAACATGCAGGATGCCTTGTGCTGCTTCCACCTCTACCAACAGAAGGTCCTCTCCTTTCTAAACTTTCTGTGCAAAGGAGAGATGGACTTGCGATCAAATCCAACCTATTCAACAAATTGTGGAAGAAGTAGGCCCTTATGTGGCTGTACAGGCACTGTCAATCCCCTCTTTCACTATAAAACAAAGATGACATCTCAATCAACTGAACTGAATTTGGTTTACTCTCTGCTTAAGATGAGTGAACCAAATTAGATGGAATGGAATTCAGTGTGTATTGTACTAATGTGAATGCTTAAAATGGGGGAGGGTGAGAGGATTATTGAAAGTTCTCTCATCTCTCAGTCTTTGAATAAAATAGAAACAAATGAGTGACCTAATCACAAAGCATGCTTTGAATTGCATGATTTTAAGGTGAATTGGATTTTCAAGTAATACAGTGGGGCAAAAAAGTATTTAGTCAGCCACCAATGGTACAAGTTCTCCCACTTAAAAAGATGAGAGAGGCCTGTAATTGGCATCATAGGTAGACCTCAACTATGAGAGACAAAATGAGAAAACAAATCCAGACAATCACATTGGCTGATTTGGAAAGAATTTATTTGCAAATTATGGTGGAAAATAAGTATTTGGTCCCCTACAAACAAGCAAGATTTCTGGCTCTCACAGACCTGTACCTTCTTCTTTAAGAGGCTCCTCTGTCCTGCACTCATTACCTGTGTCAATGGCACCTGTTTGAACTTGTTATCAGTATAAAAGACACCTGTCCACAACCTCAAACAGTCACACTCCAAACTCCACTATGGTGAAGACCAAAGAGCTGTCGAAATACATCATCAGAAACAAAATTGTAGACCTGCACCAGGCTGGGAAGACTGAATCTGCAATAGGCAAGCAGCTTGGTGTGAACAAATCAACTGTGGGAGCAATAATTAGAAAATAGAAGACATACAAGACCACTGATAATCTCCCTCGATCTGGTGCTCCACGCAAGATCTCACCCTGTGGGGTCAAAATGATCACAAGAACGGTGAGCAAAAATCCCAGGACCACACGGGGGGGACCTAGTGAATGACCTGCAGAGAGCTGGGACCAACGTAACAAAGGCTACCATCAGTAACACACTACGCCGCCAGGGACTCAGATCCTGCAGTGCCAGACGTGTCCCCCTGCTTAAGCCAGTACATGTCTGGGCCCGTCTGAAGTTTGCTAGAGAGCATTTGGATGATCCAGAAGAGGATTGGGAGAATGTCATATGGTCAGATGAAACCAAAATAGAACTGTTTGGTAGAAACACAACTCGTTGTGTTTGGAGGAGAGAGAATGCTGAGTTGCATCCAAAGAACACCATACCTACTGTGAAGCATGGGGGTGGCAACATCATGCTTTGGGGCTGTTTCTCCACAAAGGGACCAGGACGACTGATCCATGTACAGGACAGAATGAATGGGGCCATGTATCGTGAGCTTTTGAGTGCAAACCTCCTTCCATCAGCAAGGGCACTGAAGATGAAACGTGGCTGGGTCTTCCAACATGACAATGATCCCAAACATACCGCCCGGGCAACGAAGGAGTGGCTTCGTAAGAAGCATTTCAAGGTCCTGGAGTGGCCTAGCCAGTCTCCAGATCTCAACCCCATAGAAAACCTTTGGAGGGAGTTGAAAGTCCGTGTTGCCCAGCGACAGCCCCAAAACATCACTGCTCTAGAGGAGATCTGCATGGAGGAATGGGCCAACATACCAGCAACAGTGTGTGCCAACCTTGTGAAGACTTACAGGAAACGTCTGACCTCTGTCATTGCCAACAAAGGATATATAACAAAGTATTGAGATGAACTTTTGATATTCACCAAATACTTATTTTCCACCATAATTTGCAAATAAATTCTTTCCAAATCAGCCAATGTGATTGTCTGGATTTGTTTTCTCATTTTGTCTCTCATAGTTGAGGTCTACCTATGATGCCAATTACAGGCCTCTCTCATCTTTGTAAGTGGAAGAACTTGTACAATTGGTGGCTGACTAAATACTTTTTTGCCCCACTGTATGTTCGTTCATCCCTTCTGCTCAGAACTTTCTTTAATTAGGAGAGCCTGAGTAGTAAATGGCATCAGTTACCAAACACATAATGATATTTAAATAATCTGGGACCTTAAGATATCAAAATACTTGCATAAACATTTTTATTTTGGGATAATTTTAAATTTATCAGTGTAATGTATTTATATAATGTGCAATAATAATAAGGGACGATATATATAAAGGATGAGTCATTTATATGTAAGATAACACTTTATGTTGTTTTTCATTACGAACACCTTCCATGCTTCATTTGCATAATATTTAAAATGACTGTTAGTTAATTGTACAGTACATTTCTTTAAATTAATAAAAAACAATTAAATTCTAAGTGCATACAACATTTTCATGATTTTTTCCATTTACCGTCACTTATCAAATCTGAACCACAGTTTTCACATATTTTTCGCATTCACACTCATTGCATAATACAAATACTATACACTGGAAATGGAAACAGAAGAGAAGGACGACAGTCTGAGCCAAAGAATGAGCATCAGCTGAAGGAATACAGACATGTTCTAAGAAGTAAATCTTTAAAGAGATTGCATTATTAATTTCTCTTCAGTTAGAATTTCTAAAGTCTATATAGTAACAAAAATCATTTTTGGACTAGCTATTGAACCAAAATAACAGTTTTTTGCAATGAAACATTTTTTAAACCAGAGTTCCCCAGCCTATGTCTTTTCTGAGGCCATTTTTACAAATAACAAGAGGTGGTGAATTATACGAAGCATAATTGTATGATGCTGAAGTAAAATGGTAACTGTTTTAATATAAATTAAATTATTATCCCTGCTTGGCTTTATATGTATAAAAAATGTATAATGCAGCAGAGATGTAAAAAAGATTAAACTGAGCACCTAATGAAAACCTGCAGTGAGCAAAGTGATCTGAAAACTCCAACTGGTTCAAAAAAGCTTTGGTTGGAGATCGCTGGTTTAAGTGCCATAAAAAGACCTAACTGTTTTGCTGTGTCCTCACACATTCCTGGAATGGATTGCTGGTGATGAGAGTTGCGCTGTCCAGGGTTCTGATCTGAACTACTGTAAAAGGGTTACATGGGTAGCCGGGTCATAAGAGCAGGCTACACAGATAGCCTCAATTAAGTAATTCAGGTTTTCAGAGACGGAGACTGGAAGAAGGTGGTTGATCAGAATTTCTTCTAGTCAAATGAAGGAATGGACATGTGCATCTCTCCTACATAGTCTACAGCATCCAGTAAGTACAACGTCGAAAGGAGGTGAATGTTTGAGCTTAAATTATTTGCAAAATGTGATGCCTTTTAATGAAACAAAATGTACAGATGAGGTTGCACACAGGTTATCAGAACCACATGTAATAAATGCCTGTAAACCATATGTGCAACTGCATCCGTGCAATTATTAGTTTTGATCCAGTAAAAGGTATTACCTCTTGCAAGCAATTCAGCTTTATACAAATGAAAAAAACAACAAGTGCTCAAAACAACTGTATAAAATGTTTAGGCTGCCTAATAACGCCTTTCACAACCTGCTCACGGAGCTTACAATCTAATTAGTCCGTCTGCATCCATGAAGTAAAAGTATTGTTTTACGTACAAATAAATGGATTTTTGCATTCCTAACTACACATAATATATAATGTGAAAGAATTAATAGGTTGCCAACATCACTTTTGACAAAAAAATAGACTTTTATTATAAATTTTTATTTTATGAGGGAAGCCCTATAACTTCTGCTTCTCTGCTGCTTGCTGATCAGCATAAAATCCTTTTTTTTAATTTTGAGTTTTTGAATTCCGGGGCCAATTCAGCTCACACTGGACAAAGGGGCAACACAGGCAGAGGAGAAGAACCCGACCAGAGGAGAGTCATCAGAGGAGCGCCACATCCACCTCCAGACCAGGACACCATCAGCCAGATAAAGGTGACCCAGTTTATTTATATATCCAACACTGAGGAAAGGTGGATTTGAGGAGGAGGTGTCCCCAGGAGGGGAAATAGGAGATTCTCACACATTTTCCAAATGTCTATCCATGAGTGGCCATGTGTATGGAATAAGAGGAGATCATAGGAGGATCTGAGCAGGCCTTCACTTTCATTTGGAATACTACATATAGGAGCATTATCCCACCAGTCCTGGAAGGACAAAAAGTTTATTTGCCTAAATTTATTTGGGCAAATATTAAGGTGAGCGCATATTGAGACTACACGGCACCTGACAAGAGGGATTAAGGAGTTCACCTGCACATTGCACATATTGACAAAAAAGACTTTATAATTTATTTATGCACTTTATGAATTGCACTTGCACATTTATTATTGAATTGGTATTATTGATTGAACACACATGGTCTTATTTATATATAATTTTTTATATGTCACATTAATTTATTTCTATTAATTATTATTTATTAGTTCATTTATTTATATATTTATTTATATGATTGACACAGAATATGTGATATAGCATGTATAGTAGGAGCGCGGCATTATAAGTATATATAATTGAGCATAAAATCCTTACTGTGCAATTTATTTTATGAACATCTACACTGAGATCATAACTACAGACTTACCCATTGATGCAGCTTCTTAAAGTGGTAGTAAATTTCGCTTTTGAACTTATACCTACATGCATGCCTATAAGGCTTATGTCAGGAATGGACTGGCCAGCAATGGTGGGACTCACCTGCCTTTTGATCTGCAGTACCAGGGCTGGCCAGCGGGTGCTCCCAGCAATCAGAGACTCAACCTTTCAGCCAGCTAACACCTGGAACTGATGATACTGGTGTATTTAAGGGATGGCCAGACTTGCAGACTCTGCCTTGGTGTTGTGTTTGTCCTGGGCCCTGTATCTGTCCTGCATCCTGTTTCTGTTCCTTTGCTGACCCTGCCTGATCTGAACCGCTGCTGACTTCTCCTGCTCTGATCCCGGCTCGCTCCTGACCATCCCTCTGCCTGACCCTCTGTACCACGCTGCTTGCTACCTGTTCTGATCCCTGGCTTGTGACCCTGACCATCCCTCTGCCTGACCCTCTGTACTACGCTGCTAGCTACCTGCTGAACCTGGCCTGTGACCCCGACCCATCTCCGCTTGCTCCCCCTGTACCTACCTGCCCTATTGATATTGACCCAGCCTGCCTGACGACGCTTGCTTGTATGTACTGTTATCTGTGGGTGGTTGGTTTGGTTTGTTTGCACTGTATTATGTTTTAGTATTGCACTGCGTTTATGTTTGTATGGTTAGTGTTAATAAATTATATTGTTTATCACATATCTGAAGTCTGCGTTTCCCTGCGTCAGTCACATACCTCTGGTCACACCTGGGAGCCCCGACATTACACCAAGGCCAATCCTGACCAGAAGTGGCTGCACAGGGAAGCCATCTTGGCTTGTTGCTGGGAAGGATGGATCTGGATGAGGTTGTGTATTTATATCTGCTAGTGTTTGATGACAGGGGAGTATGCTTATCAGACTCTGAGGGAGTATACCCGGGATGAACTGCTAGAATGTATACGGCTCGCTCATGTTCTAGTAGATCAGGGCACAGAGTTCTCTGAGGTGCAGCCATTGATTCAGGTTTGTGCTGAGTTGGTTTCATCTGGTTCCCCCGAATGCAGGGATGAATTTTTGCTGCCATTTAGTGCAGACCAGGTAGAGTCCCTGGTGTGGTTATTAGAGGATGATGTGGGTTACTTTCTGGAGCGTTATTCCACATGTTCACCACAGACACCAAGAGATTGTATAAATGCAGTGCAGTCATTGGTCAGACAGGCTTTGTGTAAGCTCTCAGCTTTGTTCAACCCCTACTGCAGACATGGACAGACTTGTTGCACCCAGCCTCAGTCAGCTTACAAAGACCCAGTCTGCTTCTAATCTATTTCCTCAAAGCTCTACTCCTGTATTCCCAACAACTCCCCCAGTTACAGCCCAGTATACTTGGCTATCTACCGCATGTCAGTACCCTGTTCCCACTCGCTGCACCTATCCTGCCTTTAACTCTGTAAAAAAGCCCTCTGTAGCAACTGCTCCCTCTCCTGTTCCATCCTCCAGTTCTTCTCTGTCTCCAGCTGCTCCATTCGTTTGCAGACCTGCGTTTACTTGCAGTGCTCCAGTAGTTAAAACCAGAAAAAAGCGAAAATTCTTTCCAACCAATACCATCCTGCCAGTATCCAAACCGGTGTGAACCTGCCTTCCGTGACTCATGCCTACGCGGATGCCTGTACGCGGCCTGATGCCTCTACTCGGCCTGATGCCTCTACTCGGCCTGGAGCCTCTACTCGGCCTGGAGCCTCTACTCGGCCTGCAGCCTCTACTCGGCTGCAGCCTCTGGAGCCTCTACTCAGCCGGACGCCGGCATTCAGCCTGATGCCTCTACCCAGCATGATGAACTGATCCAGCCTGACGATCCTATTAGGCCAGTTGACTCGATGCCCGCTGTTGATCCAGATGATCCGGTACCTGATCCGGTGCCCGCTATCGTGCCAATTGACTCAGAGCCCGCTGTCGTACTGGTGACTCGGTGCCCACTGCCTTGCCAGATGACGCGGTGCCCGCTGGCGAGCCAAATGACCTGATGCCTGGTGACCCAGGACCCGCTGTCATACCTGGTGACCCGATGCCCGCTGTCGAGCCAGACGATCCAATGCCTGGTGACCCGGTGGCCCACTGTCGTGCCTGTTGACTCGGAGCCCACTGCCTTGCCAGATGACGCGGTGCCGCTGTCGAGCCAAATGACCTGATGCCTGGTGACCCAGTGCCCCCGCTGTCATACCTGGTGACCCGATGCCCGCTGTCGAGCCAGACAATCCGGTACCTGATGACCCGGTGCCCACTGTCGTGCCTGTTGACTCGGAGCCCACTTCCTTGCCAGATGACGCGGTGCTCGCTGTCGAGCCAAATGACTTGATGCCTGGTGACCCGATGCCCGCTGTCCAGTCAGACGATCCAATGTCTGACCCAGTGCCCGCGGTCATACCAGTTGACTCGGAGCCCACTGCCTTGCCAGATGACGCGGTGCCCGCTGTCGAGCCAAATGACCTGATGCCTGGTGACCCGATGCCCGCTGTCCAGCCAGACGATCCAATGTCTGACCCAGTGCCAGCGGTCATGCCAGTTGACTCGGAGCCCACTGTCGTGCCTGGTGACTCGGTGCCCGCCGCTTCGCCTGGGGGCCCGAGACCTGTCGCTCCGCCTGGGGGTCCGGCGCCCGCCGCTCTCCGCCTGGGGGTCCGGCGCCCGCCGCTCCGCCTGGGGGGCCTGAGACCTGTCGCTCCGCCCGAGGGCCCGAGACCTGTCGCTCCGCCCGGGGGTCCGGCGCCCGCCGCTCCGCCTGAGGGCCCGAGACCTGTCGCTCCGCCTGGGGGTCCGGCGCCCGCCGCTCCGCTGAGGGCCCCGAGACCTGTCGCTCCGCCTGGGGGTCCGGGGGCCCGCCGCTCCGCCTGAGGGCCCGAGACCTGTCGCTCCGCCTGGGGGTCCGGCCCGGCGCTCCGCCTGAGGGCCCGAGACCTGTCGCTCCGCCTGGGGCCCGGCACCCGTCGCTCGCCCGGGGGCCCGGCGCCCATCGCTCCGCCCTGGGGGGGCCCGGCGCCCCGCTGCTCTGCCCGGGGGGCCCGGTGCCTGCTCGCTCCGCCCGGTGGCCCGCCCATGCGCTGCTGCCGGGGGGCCCTGGTGCCCGCTGCTCTGCCCAGTGGCCCGGTGCCCGCTGCTCCCGCCTGGTGGCCCGCTGCGTGCTGCTTCGCGGAGTAGCCCGGTGTGCCTCTGCCCGGAGTCCTGCCCGGTGTGCCTCTGCCCGGAGTCCTGCCCGGTGTGCCTCTGCCCGGAGTCCAGCCCGGTGTGCCTCTGCCCGGAGTCCAGCCCGGTGTGCCTCTGCCCGGAGTCCAGCCCGGTGTGCCTCTGCCCGGAGTCCAGCCCGGTGTGCCTCTGCCCGGAGTCCAGCCCGGTGTGCCTCTGCCCGGAGTCCAGCCCGGTGTGCCTCTGCCCGGAGTCCAGCCCGGTGTGCCTCTGCCCGGAGTCCCAGCCCGGTGTGCCAGTCTTTGATATCCCGCCAGTTACCAGAGACCCGGGCGGTGGAACATTTTGCCCAGCTAGGACTGTTTGGAGCGTCCTGAGGCCGCTCCTTGAGGGGGGGGGGGGGGGGGGGGTACTGTCAGGAATGGACTGGCCAGCAATGGTGGGACTCACCTGCCTTTTGATCTGCAGTACCAGGGCTGGCCAGCGGGTGCTCCCAGCAATCAGAGACTCAACCTTTCAGCCAGCTAACACCTGGAACTGATGATACTGGTGTATTTAAGGGATGGCCAGACTTGCAGACTCTGCCTTGGTGTTGTGTTTGTCCTGGGCCCTGTATCTGTCCTGCATCCTGTTTCTGTTCCTTTGCTGACCCTGCCTGATCTGAACCGCTGCTGACTTCTCCTGCTCTGATCCCGGCTCGCTCCTGACCATCCCTCTGCCTGACCCTCTGTACCACGCTGCTTGCTACCTGTTCTGATCCCTGGCTTGTGACCCTGACCATCCCTCTGCCTGACCCTCTGTACTACGCTGCTAGCTACCTGCTGAACCTGGCCTGTGACCCCGACCCATCTCCGCTTGCTCCCCCTGTACCTACCTGCCCTATTGATATTGACCCGGCCTGCCTGACGACGCTTGCTTGTATGTACTGTTATCTGTGGGTGGTTGGTTTGGTTTGTTTGCACTGTATTATGTTTTAGTATTGCACTGCGTTTATGTTTGTATGGTTAGTGTTAATAAATTATATTGTTTATCACATATCTGAAGTCTGCGTTTCCCTGCGTCAGTCACACACCTCTGGTCACACCTGGGAGCCCTGACAGCTTACCTGTAGGTACAGGGAATATCTCCTAAATTTGAATTGTGTAGGAGATTTTCACACTGGATGCAGCTGATGATGTCACTGGGGCATGCGCTCTGAAGGGACGGCATACCTGTGCACACCGGCTGAACCGTGATGACGTCACTCCTCCCATGCATGGGAGTCATGGTTTACGGCACAGAGCTCTGTGCCGTAAACCGTGACTCCCGTGCATGGGAGTGACGTCATCACGGTTCAGCCATTCAAAGAGCCAGAGAACCCAGGAGGAAGACCAGGCAGTAATGACAGCACACCTCTGGAGGGCTTCGTTCTAAGATAGGTACTTCATAATATGCTAGTATGTGATGCATGCTATCACATAATGCCAGTTCCTTTTTTTTTAATGGCTGCGGTTTACTACTGTTGTAATGTCTGGTTGCTCTATTACCTTAACCTCCCTAGCGGTCTGATTATGTCCATATTTCTGTGCTCAAAGCGGTACTTTTTTGCGGGTTTTTTTGGCATTTTTTTGTGCGGTTTACTACTGCTGTAATGTCTGGTTGCGCCATTACCATATTTCTGGGCTCAAAGCGGTACTTTTTTTTGCATGGAAATATGTATTTTTTTGGGGGGGGTTTTTTGCGTTTTTTTTGCGGTTTACTACTGTTGTAATGTCTGGTTGCTCTATTACCTTAACCTCCCTAGCTGTCTGATTATGTCCATATTTCTGTGCTCAGAGCGGTACTTTTTTTGCGGGTTTTTTTTGCGGTTTACTACTGCTGTAATGTCTGGTTGCTCTATTACCATATTTCTGTGCTCAAAGCGGTACTTTTTTTGCATGGAAATATGTATTTTTTTTTGCTGTGTTTTTTTTGCAGTTTACTACTGCTGTAATGTCTGGTTGCTCTATTACCTTAACCTCCCTAGCGGTCTGATTATGTCCATATTTCTGTGCTCAAAGCGGTACTTTTTTTGCATGGAAATATGTATTTTTTTTATTGTAGGCCTGTAATTTTTAGGAATAACTCACTGAAATCTGTCCGAACAAGAGTCTAGTAAACATCCCGGGTATGTTTAAATTTGAAACACAAAATCATAAATTATAATTTAATAAATAATCATAAAAAATAATATTATAATAATAAATTTAATAAAAAATAATATAATCAAACCAAAAACACACTGAAATTTGAAATATAGCGCCAAGTTCGCACATCACTGAGCAAAGTCGCAAAATCGTTTTCAGTGTCTGATGACGAATTTCCCCCACGAATCATCACTCAATTCTGCAAGTGGTTCTGATTTACTATCGCTGTTCTCTAGCTGATCTAAACCCGCTTTTGACCTAAAGGAACGCTTTTTGGACGCCATGGACGTTTCTCAGTTTCCAGGCAGAAAGAACAGTCAAAATGCAGGCAGGGCGCCGGACAAAGCACTCGGGACAAAATGTATGTGAAATGGTTTGATACAGGAATGTTATACTATGTGATTTTAGTGAATTTAGTGAATGTCACATTTACAACTTTCAAATTTCCCGCCATTCCGTCCCCCGTACGTCCCGACGTCGCAGGCAACAGAACCCAAAAGACAGATGCCGGCATCCGCCGGAGGACATTGCTGGGGACACTGCAGGGGACACATCGCGGGGAGCGCAGGACAAGGTAAGTGCAGAAGGGATCCCGGAGCAACGCCGCATGGTAAGCCCGAGTGTAGCTCGGGGTTACCGCTTTTGGTGCTGAAACTTTACCCCGAGCTACACTCGGGAATACCGCCAGGGGGGTTAATAATGCTTGGCTTAAATGCTTTCTATGTATACATTTTTTTTTTTTTTTTAAATATACCTATTTGTCATATTTTCAACAACCCATACGTGGGTTTGGCTTATTTCCAATTTTTCTACACTTTTATAGATCTTGCCTTTTATTGACATACTTTTTTAGCATTCTGAAAAATGTATTTCAGAAAACTTTGAAGCTAAGCGATGCTCAGATGCCCCCATACTGGCTAAAAACATCTTAAGGCACAGATTTAAATCATTTTCAAAACGGTTTGCCCGTTTGTAAACTTTTTCCAACATATAAATCATTAAATATTTACAATTTTCTATACATATACAAAGGATGAAAAGGAGGGAGGGACAAAATTGGCACCAAATCCCATTTACAAAACATGCTAATTGGAAACTGGAATTGTGGGGCTTTTTAGGTGACAAAAAAATTTGTATTTCACAACATATGAAATCAGTTTTACTTTTATTATACAATGATGTCACAGTAAGATGTAACATAAAAAATATCCACTGGTCATAGCCACTTGATTATTAATATATATAGAACACAACCATTCTTGAATCCAAATTATAGGTGTCTCCACATGTTACTAGAATTGTAGTGGCTTTAACAGGGTTTGCAGATAGCTTTATTAGGAAGACACACTAACTTTTCACAAACATGTGTCCATATTTGGATCTTGGGATATTTTATCAGATCCCCACAGAAAGGATTTCCCCATCAGATATGTAGGATGGAGAAATTGTATTATATGCAAGAAGATAAGATGGGGGCTATTCTCTAACAAGCGGAGAAAATGGGAAGAATTTATGGTGAAATATATGAAGTAGCAGGGTGAGAGAGAGATGCAAGTATTTATATATTCTATATTCTAGTTGGGAAAAGAGGTAATAGAACAATGCAGAGTGGGTGGGTTTATATGGGGGAGGGAGGTTTTTTTTTTTTTTTCTAGGGAGGAGGGGTAATTAGATAGGGGGGGAGGTAATGGGAATAAAGATAGTAAGAAATGTAATTAATGATTTGGAAATGTTTTTTGTATGAGAATAATGATGAAATATGTATTATATATGGAAAATAAATAAAATATTTAAATAAAAAAAAAAAAAAAGGAAAGGATTCCCCCATAAATACATAGCTTGGATATGCCAGAGTGGGGGCAGGATATAGACCCCAGTGGGCAAGAAGAGGAGATACTAGTGATGAAACTTTCTTAAAACCAGTAAGTCAAGGCAACCACAAGAGGGGCCCATATTCTGCAGATAGTATGGTGGATTTCATTAGTTTTCTCAAAGCCACTAAGTGTGTATTTTGCATTAATGTAGGCCAGCATGGATGTTTGTGAGCTCTGTGCATCAGCCTCAGCCAAAGCTCATGGACGTCCAAGCTCTGGCTGAGGCTCAT